CTTTAATTTCTGTAGAGAACTGAAAACATAGACACTAGTAAACGTACGTAAAACAGTCTCTGGCCAAGCAGCACTGCTGAAATTTTGTGAGGTTTTTTTTCTGTTCTGTGAATTCATGGGAGTTCATTTGCTGCTGTGCTTGTGTTCAAGAAGAAAAAGAAAAAAAAAAAAAAAAAAGAAACAGGTCTGTCCTGTTTTGTTGCTGCTAAGAATCTTTTTCAAGGCCTTGGGGATACAGACAAAAAGACTAGAGGTATTTTACGGAATAGAGGTATTATATTTGGCAAATGGGGAAAAACACACATCCATTTTCATAGAATGTGAAGAGAATCCTTGTACCAGTCAAAAACTTACATTCATTAGTAGTATGAACTTGAGCTTTACTTGAAGTCCTTCCAGAGCTGGTAATGTACCATTTTATCTTGTTTAGGAAAGAATAAATTACATGTTAAAATGGAAACCACTGTTAATTTATGAATCTGAAATAAATTTTTAAAAATAAATAAAAATAAGATTTAAGTTCTTGTACTTCTTTTTAGGCTGTAGTTTTCAATGTTCCTGACATAAATGTAGAATTAATGATGAATTGTTTGAATTATCTTGGTTTAGAAATATGTTCAATTTCTTTTCCTTGTCCATCTATTTTTATTAAAGTTGAAAACTAGAATTGCCAAAGTGGTCTTAAAGAACTAGGATCCTAACTTGTGTTTTGGTTTTCATCCATTTGAAGTCAGCTATTTGTGAACTTCTGGATGTGCTACTTTCACAAATAATTTGTTCTATGTTCTTTCCTAAACATATTTTTGGGCAAAATATTAGCCAGCAACAAAGAGAAAATAATTCCAACTTTGTCTTCTATAGCATATTTCATCATCTGAAATAAAGTCAGTTTTTCCCTCAAAAAAAAGTTAATTATCGTAGTTTTTCATTCATATATATATATATAAAAAAAGGCTGACATGAATGCTATGTGCTTTATTTAGACTTCTGTTCAGAGTTCCTGTTTTGCTGACAAGAATGACCTGTGTAAACCTCCCGGGGACTATGGCTTAATCTCAAAGACTGAAGTTATTTTTAACAGAAAAACATAATGAGATTTATATATAATCACCCTTTTCTGTTAGTGATACTTTGTAGTTCAGTGGTGACATTTTCAACAGTGAAATTTCTAAACTTGCATCTGGATAAAAACTCATTCTGCAGATCTATTGAGTCTTCTCATTCGAAGATGCTGTTTTAGTAACTATATAGTTACTAATCTCATAGCCCTGAAATGAAATGCCCAAACTTGGGATATACATTACAGACATTAAACTATTTACCAATCCTTTGTTTGCTTTAAAAGTTTTTAAATACCACAATTATAATTTACAGGATGTGTGACAGAAGAAACACAGTTGAGGAGGCATAGCATATATATCTGCTGTATTAGGTTGTAAAATGTAGGAGATTGATTGAAAATTAAAATTGAAGACATGTAAGTTCTTTAAAACAATTCTTGACATACAAGATACCCTGTTTGCCTTATGAGAATATGTTCTCAAGGGAGCAACTTTGCATATAGACACACTGTATGGGGCTGATCCTGGCCAGATGTCAGGTACCCACTAAAGCCACTCTCTCACTCTCCCTCTGCAACTGGACAGAGGAGAGAGAAAAAAAAAACAGCTAAGGATTCATGAGTTGAGGTAACAGCTGGGAGAGGTCACTTATTGATTACCTTCACAGGCAAAACAGACTCAAATTGGAGATAGTACTTAAATTTATTATTAACAGAATAAAAGCCAAAGTGAAAAATAAAACAGTCTTAAAAACACCTTCCCTCACCCCTCTTTCCTTCCATGTTCTCCCTCCCCCTGCCCCAGCGGTGCAGGGAAATAGGGAATGGACTTAACAGTCAGTTGTTTCTGCTGCTGCTCAGGGAGAGTCCTTCCTCTCCTCCCATGGGGTCCCTCCTACAGGAGACAGTCCTTGATGGACCTCTCTGGCGTGGGACCATCCCTTGGGCAGCAGCTCTTCCCAAACTGCTGTCCTGTGGGTCAGTCCTCCATGGGGTGCAGTCCTTCAGGAATGACCTGTACTGGCATGAGTCCCCGACAGGGGCCACAAGTCCTACCCAGGAAAAACCTGCTCCAGTGGCTGCAGGTCTCCGGCAGGACCTGCTCCATCCTGGGCTTCCCACGGGGTCACAGCCTCCTTCATGCATCCACCTGCTCCAGGATGGCCTCCTCCATGGGCTGCAGGGGGGTCTCTGCACCCCGATGGTCCTCCATGGGCTGCAGGGGCACAGCTGCCCCACCATGGTCTGCACCACGGGCTGCAGGAGCCTCAGCTCTGGTGGCTGGAGCACCTCCTGCCCCTCCTTCTGCACCGACCTTGGTATCTGCATTGTTGTTCACTTGTTCTCACTCTGCTCTTCCCTGGCTGGAATTCTTTCTGTGCCACAGCCTTCTGTTCTTAAATGTGTTATCACAGAGGTGTTATTGTTACTCCTCAATGGCTCAGCCTTGGCCAGCAGCAGGAAGTCCGTCCTGGAGCCGGCTGGCATTGGCTCCATTGGACAGGGGAAGCTTCTAGCAGCTTCTAACAGAAGCCACCCTTGTAGTCCCCCCACTACCAAAACCCAGCCACAGAAACCCACTACAGTGATTAAGGAGGTATTAGTTGCATTTGTACATAGGCTTCCCCCCTCCCAAGAGGGGAAGACTTTAGCTTCAGGCCAAAGGTGCATTTAAACCCACCTGCCCCTAAGTTGGAGTGGTTTAGTTGAGATGCTCGCACAAATTGTGTGTGAAAAGACAGATTTTTTGTATCTAAAGACAATGAAACTTTCTTAATTATGTGTGGAAAAAGATAGTGTACACTTACTACCAAACTCTTCAGAACTGCTAAGCCCAGAATTGGGGATCCCAAGTAAGAGGTGGTAAGACCTAGATGTGTTGCTTGTGCTTGGGCTTCATAAATACAAGTTTAAAGTATTATCTAGCATGTTTAAGGATGCTGTTAGAGGAAATTAGAAAAAAAAAAAAAAAAAAAAAAAAGGTAGTTGTTTTCCTTCTGACATTACTATCATTCAATTTAAAGTAATGGGATGAGTATCCCTGTACCAAAGCTGTGGGAATTTCTTGAAGTCAAGTGGCTGCAGCCACAAGCCGTTTGGGAATGGCAGTACAATTCAGCCAGCAGCTTCCAAACTGTCCTCCCATGATGACTGTGCACCAGTCAGGGATCAAGATGGACAGTTGAGCCCTGACCACTGCACAGCCCCCACCTTAGCCAGCCCCAGATGGGCATAAAACCTGGCGGGGAGGACAGGACCCTGGTGAGTAGGACAGCAAACTGTTGGGCATGTATCGCACTAGTTGCAAGTTCTGAGTCCTGTGCACTTTGCTCAGGGATTTGTCTAAACTGGATCACCCCACGCACATCTTTTGCCTGCTGAGCCAAAGCTTCCTATGGAATAGCCATATGCACAGTTGTTTTTAAATGCTTGTCTATGTGACTGTCAATAAATATTCACGTTCTGTGCATGTATTTCCTAGGTGAGGGACTATGGGCCTCCTTTGTTCTCCAGTGTGGGAACGTGTCTGGGGACAAAAAGACTACAGTACAAAAATTATAGGAGAAAATATGGTTGCTACTCCCTGGACAGAAAGCAGTCAGCATACCCAATCTCCCACACACTATACAATCAAAAGGGGACTGTTGCCTAAAAAGAAACCTCTAAGACTCAATTTGTGAGTTTTTGGCAGGTAGGCATTCTTTTATTACAGCGTCCTGGAGGATTCCAGCATGCTGAGTGCACCAGTAATTGTTTTGCCAAAGTGCACACAGAGGTATCTCCACTACAGCTTCATGTCAGCATTACATGATTATTAATTTTTGTTCTCTGCATTCCTATTACATATTCATGACAATCTCAATACCTATTAGCATATATACATATCCTTATTAGGTCTCTGAGTGGCTTCACCAGAGGTCTCTGGTGGTCATTTCTATCTGGAGTCCCCAAAGTTCTACGTGACTGCCTTAGGAACATGTTTAAGAAAATACACTTGATTACAGAGTAACTTGGTGTTGCCTACTTGGCTGTTTTGGTTCCCTTCTTCATTGTTTCTTTACTTTACTTGGCTAGTTTCTTTAAATTGCTTGTCTCAGCTATAGGTAATTTTCCATGGTACATTCTGTTGCAAGCCATACTAGTCCTGTTACATCTCAAAACTCTAGTACTGGGACTAAATGGAGTGTGGAGCAGTATGGAGACACTCCCAAGCCAAACTCCCTTGCACAGGAGGGAACTTGGTGGTACTTTCTAGCTGCTAAGCTGCACAGCAGCTGAAAACCAAGGGAGACAAGGAAAACATCCCACTGTTGAATCGGCAACCACGATGAAATCATTCTCCTTGGGCTGATGCATTTCCCATCCCAAGGTTATCTCAGGTACTAACTGAGATATCCACCCCCAGGGTATGACCACTGCTCACTGGGTAAGATGTATGACTGGAGTCACTCAAGCTCTACCTAAACATAAGGAAACAATACAAAAGTGAGTTAAAGAATAGGGGGAAACTAGGGAAGACTCCATCGTAACTTCTGGGGTCAGTCAACAGGCTGAACCTATCTTCTCCCCAGTAGGGATGCCTATCCGGTAAGAAATCACTGAAACTTGCTCCGTCAGAATCCTTGGGCTGCATCAAAAGCAGCATAGCCAGCAGGTCGAGGGAGACGGTCCTGCTCCTCTGCTCTTCTCTGGGGAGACCTCACCCCCAGTATTTGCGCACCGCTCTGGTGTCCCCCAACATAAGAAGGACATGGAGCCGCCGGAGCAAGTCCAGAGGAGGGCAGCGAAATTTCGTCAGAGGACTGGAGCGCCTCCCCCTAACCAAGAGAGGCTGAGAAACTTGGGACTGTTCAGCCTGGAGAAGGTGGCGCTTGGAGGACCGAGTGACCTTTTTTTTTTTTTTTTGCTGCGTCCTCCGCGGGCCCGGCCGGGGCGGCGCCGATCGCGGTGTCGTCAGTGCGGGCTGGGCGGGCGTGCGGGCGGCGCTGCCCATGGCCGAGGGCGCCGGTGGGCCATGGCCTCGTCCGTGGTGCGGGCCACGGTGCGCGCCGTCAGCAAGCGCCGGATCCAGGCGACCCGCGCCGCCCTCACCCTGGTCAGTGCCGCCCGGTGCGGGCAGCGGGCGGGGGGTTGGGGCCGCGGCTCGTCGGCTGCGGGAGGGAGTTGCGCCGCGGCCTCCCCGGCCCCCCTGGCCCGCGGAGGGGAGGCCGCCCCTGGCGGCGGCGGGTGGGGACGGGGAACGGGGACAGGGAGGGGGGGGGGTCGCCCCGCCGGGCCGGCTGGGGAACCGCGGGGTGCCGCGGGGCGGCACCGGGGCCGGGCCCCTGGGTGCGCGGGGCCTAATGTTGCGCGGGCGCCCGAATGAGTGTGTTTTGTGTATTTGTTTAAAATTTTTTTTTTTAATTTTTTTTTTTTTTTAAATTTTAAATTTTAAAAATTTTCACCCACCGAAGCTGACGAGTGGTTGTTTTCGCGAAGGCTTTGTATATCCTGTTGTTGATGATGGAAGGAAGCGCGTTCCGTGCTAGCGGTCGTACTTGGGGGAGGAGGCCGCGCTTGAAAACTCAGTGTTCGGTCGTAGGTTGGGCTCGATGATCTCAGAGGTCTCTTCCAACCTGGCTGATCGTGAGGGATAAGTGCAGAGAAAATTACAGTTTAAAGTCTTTTCCCTGCAGGAGCAAGGGCAGATCGTGTGTACGCACAGTTTATAGTCGTTTGTCAGAGCAGGTGATTCCTTTCCAGTAGTGGTTCTGTAACAAACGAAGAGTGGTAGCAGTAATTAGAAAAAAATTTCTATTGCAAGGCTGTTTGTCGTTTGTTTTGTGTGTTTAAGGCAGCTCATAGTAAGAACTTCATCTTACTAATGCTTTTGCTTTTCTCAGTGTCTTAGAAACTTGTAGGCATGTAATGGAAATTTTAATGTTTATGTTGCATTCTTGAATTTCTGCAACAACTAAATCTGCACAAACGGTGAATTTTATCTGCTGTAAAGTCACCCTCGAGGACAGTGGTAAGAGAGAAGTAGGCTGCAAGCCCTCCTGTGCCTAGCTGAGAAGAACTTGGGGGTGCTGGTGGATGATAGCTGGACATGACCCAGCAGTGTGCACCTGCAGACCAGAAAGTCAGTCATATCCTGAGCTACATCAAAAGCAGTGTGGCCAACAGGGTGAAAGAGGTGAATCTGCTGCTCTACTCTGCTCTAGTGAAATGTCACCTAAGTACTGCATTCAGCTCTGGTGCCCCCAGCACAAAACAGACATGGAACCGTTGGAGCAAGTCCAGAGGAGGCCATGAAGTTGATAACGGGAGCAGAGCACCTCCCCTACCAAGACAGGCTGAGAAAGTTGGGGCTGTTCTGCCTGGAGAAGAGAAGGTTTTGTGCAGACCTCATGGCAACAAGTACCCAAAGGGGGCCTGCAGGGAAGCCAGAGGGGGACTCTTCATCAGGAACTGTAGTGATAGGACAAGGAGTAGTGGGTTCAGACTGAAAGAGGGAAATTTAGGTCAGATTTATGGAAGCAGCTCTTCCTGGTGAGGGTGCTGAGGCACTGGAACAGGTTGCCCAGCGAAGCTGTGAATGCTCCATCCCTGGCAATGTTCAAGGCCACACTGAATGGGGCACTGAGCGGCCTGGTCTAGTGGAAGGTTCCCTGCCCGCAACAGATGGGTTGGAACAAGATGATCTTTAAGATCCCTTCCAACCCAAACCATTCTATGATTCTAACAACCAAAACCCCTACTTTAATAGGACTGCAGTTCTTGAGGTATATGTTTGCTGACAGTGTGGAGGCGAGGGGAGAGTTACTGTGTTCTGTATAGATTAGTTTCAACCGACATCTGTTTTACAGCAGAGTGCTTATCTTCAGCACAGGCATCAGTTTCAAGTAGAACGCAGAATAGTCAATACTGATAGGTGGCTGAAGGGGGACTTTGCAGGTAGAAAACAAATGTAAACTAAGAAAATCTGAGTACACGTAGTTGGAATAATAGATTTTTTTATAGTGAAATTAAGTACATTGCACGCTTTAATACTTGCAAACACTGCAAATAAACAAACAGGAAAATTTCAAATTTATGTGTATGGTTCTGTCTTTCAGACCCCATCTGCTGTTCAGAAGATAAAAGAGCTTCTGAAAGATAAACCCGAGCATGTAAGTATAGATAGGCGGGGTCAGTCTGTAGATGGTGCTAAGGTATTAGCACAGCTCATGATTGCAAACAATTTGTGGCTAACTTAGAAGTTTGAAATAAACACTGACGTGTTCATTAGCAATATCTACATCTTTTTTTGGAGGGCAATGCATAAGCTTGTTTCTCTGTCAAGCCTCATTTTGTTATAAAATGAAATGCAGGAATGAAATGAAATGTAGGAAATAACTGACTATAATGAGATTTCAGTGTACAGTTACCATTGAGATTAAAGAAGCTGAAGAAATTTTAAGTCACAGTGGTGACTTCTAGAGGGGAAAGAGATCTTCAGCTGTTGATATTAAGAAGTTATTTAAGTTCTTTTAGAAATTCTCACTGTGAAGTATGCAATAATAAAATTATGTTCATATGCATTAGAAAACATCTAATTCTTAGGAAACTTGCCAGACAGTGTATTTTTTCAAGTAATCAGTATTTCCCCAAATAACTAATTGAGCCTGTCATCTTTTCTTCTTTGGCAAAAGACACAAGTCTTCCTTTATAGCCATTGTAAAAAAGAAGCATTTGATTTTCTTTACTGTAAATATTATTATTACAAGAAGAACATTTCTCTTTTGTACAAGGCCCATTGTTTGTTTTGCTTCCTGCACATCTGCAATTCATTAGACTACTTGTTCTAATGTTTTAAACCATCCTAAGGAAGCCTTGGGCCTACAAGTTACATGGCAGTTCCCTTGCTATAAATGGTGTTTACGTTTTCCAAGCTGTTACTTGGTAGCAGTTCCTGTAGAGAAAGGTCTGAAAGGATCAGATGCAGTTTGTCTGAGAGCCCATTTGATGACAAGTAATATGTTTTGATACATTTTTATCATAACATTGATTATAGAGATAGATAATAAAATTTGCCTCTTCAGTTATGAAGCATTGGTGTGCGGAAGGTGATACAGATACTTCTGAAAGATTGTTGTGCACAAATACTTTTCAATTTCATTAAAACCTTTTCTCAGCTCTTTCCTTACAGATATGCTCTTTTTGTCAGACTTGTTGAATGCTGTGTTACAAACATTGACTAGGTTAGCTTTTAAGGTCAATTAAAACAGTAAGCAAATACACATACTTGATTTAAGGGAAGGGATTGCTTTTTAGGTGAAACTGGAAGTAAAGCTAATGAAATCAGCAAGTCAGTTTTTCAGAACTTTAGTTTGAAGTAAGTTTTCTGATGGTGTCATTACAAGAGTTCTGTGAAAATCTAGTAACTACCCTTGTTTGGCCTCACAGCTTTATAATTAATTTACCATTAATAATCTTAACGTAGCACCCAAATTAGCATCCGAGTAAATTTCCATTTAAAGTCACAAAAATACTGTCTTTGAAATTTGACTATCTTATGAGACCTGGTACCTACTAGGATGCCAAAAATATGTTATTTCAAAACTTTGACGTCCTTTAAGGCTTGATACACAGCAGCAAGTATCTGATGTTTTCTTTTACCTTGGCAGTCAAATTTGTAAAAGGAAAAACATATTACCTCTTAATCCATTAAGGAAATTCACTGGTGTATTAAGGCAGTGAAGAATAATAAATGTCAGCATTTTGTTGTTCGGCATACTTTTTAACTTGATATTCCATAATAGGTTTTAAAAGGCAAGTCATGCACGTGGTGGTGGCTTTCTGTTATCTTTTTTTTTTTAGGTGGGTGTGAAAGTGGGTGTTCGTACAAGGGGATGCAATGGACTTTCTTACACGTTAGAATATACAAAATCAAAAGGAGACTCTGACGAAGAAGTAGTTCAAGATGGTGAGTTTCTGGTGCAACAGAAGAACATTCGGTGGGGGGGGGGGGATAAAAACCAGTCATTCTGAGAGAAGAACATTTGTTTTTTTACAAAGTTTTGGGTCATCTTGTTGGATTCACAGACTTTAAGAAGGGTATGAAAGGGTTTACTGTCTGTATTGCATGGGAATTTTGTACTGAAGCTGAGATTCATTCACAAGTTCTACAGCTTCTTTCTCTCATTATCATTGTTTTTTGTCCCCCATCAAAATACAGACATGCATGTCCACACACAAGTAACAGTTCTAGACTGTTGCCAGACTTCTGTATGTAGAGTGAAAACAGTGATGAAAGTGCCCCAAATTAGACCAGGGAAACCAAGTTGTACTGGTAGTCTTCTTATTTAGCTCCATTTTTTTAATCACCTGTCAGAAGAGAATTTCGAAGTGAACAATGATTTTGCTGTATGTAATTCCTTCTTTTGTTGTCTTCAAGGGGTTAGAGTGTTTATTGAGAAGAAGGCACAGCTGACACTTCTAGGAACTGAAATGGACTATGTAGAAGATAAGCTGTCCAGTGAATTTGTTTTCAATAACCCAAACATCAAAGGAACATGTGGCTGTGGAGAAAGCTTTAACATCTGAAATCTCAGGACTACTTCTTTGACTTTGAACAGCCCATACTATTATGACGTTTGGAAGCAGATGTGTTTCCTTCAGGTTCGTAGGCTGTGTAAAGTGGGGATATTATTAAGAAAAATAAATAATTTTGAAAATGTAAGTTGTGTGGTAAATTCCACCGCTGATGTAGTTATCCTGTAATTTGTGATGAGTTAGGATCTAAAAGGTAAGAACAGTAAGTGCTACAAGTAACATCTCTGTACTTCCACTTGCCAAGGAAATAAAATCTCACTGTTCTTTTCCTTTGTCATTTTCTTTGTCCATCCTACTCCAATGCCCGTCCAAAACCCATTTGAAAGAATAGATTGTGTTCTGCTTTGATTCGGAGAAAACAAAAAAATGAACAAAAAACCCCAACCATTTATACATGTGTGTTTATAGCAATTTTTACATACAGGCACACAGTCCTTGCTTGCTTTATAGTTTTCTGATGCTTTCTTCATTTTGCAAGTGCATTTCTGGTGTTTTATGTGCCCTTAAATCCAGGGAAATAAAAGTGTTGTTCATGTATTAATATAGTGGCTACACTGCTTGTAGAAATGCTTCAAAGAGGGCTAAATGTAATTCTTTTCCTTTCCTTGTTGAAGGAACAGTCTCTGCTGTACTTGGTCATTTTCAGAACATGAAATATTTGGGCACTGGAGGACTAAACAGCGATACACATGGGCCTTGTTTTTCACACTTCTGTTGTTTTGTCATTCCTCAATTAAATTGCAAAGTTGGTAAAACTGCCTCCACGTTCTGATTCCCTGCATTCACAAGATGTGCTCTGTGTGTGCACCAAAAGCTATGAATGCTTTTTTTGAGAGACAGATCTTAGATTTCTCATTACTACTATTTTTTTTGTTTGTAGTCACATCTGCTACTAATTTTGTTACAGTGTGAACTCTTCTTCGTAACTCTCTAGGTTTTTTCACCAAAGCTTATGGTAACTTCTATTTAACTCCTGTCTTGAGGTTAACTTGGTAACAGGAGAACATGTGTTTGTAATTTTAAAAAAATTAGTATTTCATAGTAGTTTTAATCTAGACAGTAATTAAAATAGTATAAAAGGCCATTTTTTCTTTGGAATTTAAATGTACTTAATCAGAATTTTTTAAACAAATGTTTTTCAAGCTTATCCAGTCTTCAGCACTTCTTTGCTGGTGCTGAGGTGGAAGTGTAAAATCTCTCCAGATGTTCCCAAAATCTGTTGTGAGAGAGGAACTGTTCTGCCCATTTATGTCCTGATTATCCAAAGATGACATTGTGCAGCTAAGCTGCTCACTTGTGCATGAGCGAAGGTAACATCTGCCTGGTCAACTGATTGGAACAGGTGGTGAAATGGATGCAAATAAAAAGTAGGGGACAGCAGAGATCTTGCAGTCAAGAACAAGAAGGTGTTGAGATAGGAGGGAACTGAGAGCATTAAGGATGCATGTTGACAATCTGGAGGTCATCTTGATCTGGACACTTGTGCCCATATGCCTGTCACCATCTGCTGTAGATGTAGAATTGCAGCTAGAGTTTGGTTCTTCCCTCTTTACTTTCCCCAGGCCAGAGGGAAGAATAAAAATTGAAAAATGAAATAATGCTTCATCTGCTTTATGTAGTGCACAGGAACAGAAAGTCAGAATTACCTATAGTCTAACACTAAATACTTGAATTGTGACTGTATGTCAACTTTTGAAATAAAAACACTTTCCTTGAACAGTCAAGTGCTGTGCACAGTTACTTTATATAGTAATTCGGAAATCACTGGTAATACACTGGCTAAGTGCCTCTGTAGTGCCGTAAGTCTTTCAGTCTTGCCAAACAAAAACATGACATCACTGCATTACACCTAAAACTCCAATCCAAGAGCATTTCTTCAAACTGCATTTCTCTGCTTCTTGCTAGAAATAAGACTTCAAATGTGGTGACACTGGTGGTTGCTAAAAGTGCTGGTACTTACTCATTTAACTTGTTTTGTGGTGGAGGGGATTGGTTTGAGATTTATTTTAGACCTGTGGCATGTATAGCAATCCTTTTCATGTGTTTGTGTGTATGCCCTGAATGAAAGTTTGCACTTTTGTATTCCCATTAAATAATTATCTAAGTTGTCACCTTACTAGGACAACTAATGCACAATGTGTTAAACTTCTGCTAAAGTGCTATTTACAGTTGCATATGAACATGATTTTGTTGATTGATCTATTATAATTTTATGCAACTATATATGTAGAGTTCACGATTATAATAATAAATATTGCCTGTTGATAACCATGAAATATTCCTATCTTGAACAGTTTTTTAAAGTAATAAAGCACGGGTAGAAAACAGGTTTGTGTGCTGGGATTACAAAGTAGAGGCAATGCTATTGTTACCTGAGTTAATATTTCTCAAAAATACTCAACATTTCCAGATATTATTATATTCCACCACTGAAAGGGCACAGAAATATATTGGGGGGGAAAGTTAGTTAACTAAATATGTAAGGTATATACACATACCAGAAGGCTGACTAAATGCACAGACTTCTATTAAACTTCACAACACAGCATTCTCGGGGTAAAAATTCTGGCAGGCAAGACTTTGAAGGCTTTTATGTACCAAAAAGTCAGTGTGGTATGTTTTAATGCAGGATAGTGATTTTGACCAAAGTAACTGTTGACATAAAACTTATTTTAACTGATGAGACAGTTTGAGGGTGAGAGTCAAAGGGCATACCTGGCCATTTCACTTAAGTGCTGTACCATGGCACTAATACCCTATAGTGTACGATGCTCATGACACACTTGGGATTTTCTCTTAGGTATAGTCTTTCCATCTCTAAAGTTAGGTTTCCTTTTCCTGCTACATGAAGATTCTGAACAATAGAAGGTGAAGTAATAAATTCTGAAAAAATGTGAGAGCAGTGATACAATTGCATACTCATGATGCTGGGGAGAGAGAAACAGCCTTCATTCGTCAGGAGCCGGCAAAGGCAACAGTTGCCTTTCTGTTGGAGCTCTTACAGAACCTATAGAAACAAATTGCTTGCACGACCAGGTCAGTATCCCTGTTTTTATACCTCTTTTTGAGCAGCTCAGAAGAACTTGTTTATGAAAATATTGCACAGTTCAATATGCAAGTCACCTGCACAATAGGTAATAGGACAAAATGGATAGGAACTACAAAATAAGTTGCAGGTAATGAGACAGATTTTTTCATGTAAAAGAAAAATACTTTTTTTTTTTTTTTTAGTTAAATCCCATATTCTGTAGGTTGCTGCTGTTGGGTTTTGGGTTTTTTTCCTTTTTATTGTAATTACTGTTCTTCCCATTTATTTGAATTACTGCCTTTAGTAGTGGAAGAAATCTCCAACTATACCATTATTGTACTTGATGGCTGCCTGGCCATTTTTTAGTCAAATTTTATGATGGTAAAATTTTGCATTTTTCTTACAGAAGAATTCCATAGTTGTCTGATGTGGCAGAGTGTGCACCTCTGTCTTCGCCCAAGAGGAACCCTCAAAAGAGTACTCAAATTTTAAAATAAAACAATACTTTAAAATTACTTTTTGTCATGACCAGTACAGCTTTTCACCTACAGAGTGATCTGCCAGTGAGCAGTATGAGCTGCCATGCATTTTACTGGGACTTCTAACATATAAGAGATATGCTGCTTCTGTATGGTGGCAAAAGTGGAAGTAAGTCCTTAGTGCAATTCCACATGCATTTGGGCTTGAACAGCATTTGAATGGCAATTTTTGTATGCAACGTCTGGCATTTTGCGTAAAGAGAGATACAGCAAGGGAAAAACAACTGCTCAGTTTTAGCGGGGACTTCACCCTCACCTTTTACATCCCTTTCACTGGATTGTTCCTCATCCTGTGTGTTCCTCAGCTGACAGCAGTGCACTCCAGGCTCCTCACACATGGAACCCGGGAGCCCCAGACCATTCATGGCAACACACACCTACGGCACTGGGTGGCAGCAAGTTTCCAGTCCACACGTTTCAAAAGGCAAATTGCCTCTTTCCGATGCCCATGTTCTAAGCTTCCTATTGGATTTCCCAAATATTGGAGCACTTTTGCTTATACTGGTGGAAACTATTGTTCAGCCCTGCTGTTTGTCCTTCCTGCATTCTGTTCTGTGCTTTTTATCTGTTCCTGAAAGCGGCCAAATGATTGCAGAAATCCAAAACATCAAACCACTTCCAAGCTTCTGATGCAAAAAGAAATAGAGAACCCTTTAATGGATTCTGAGATTCAAGAATTGGTTTTTTTCACCACTATTCCTCGTCTTCACAACTTCCTAGTAAAAGATTGACTGGCATTTGGCTGGCATTGGGTGCTGGGCATAAACTCAGCAGAAGTATACACACTTCCTTAGGTTAGGTTCCTTCGAGGTTACAGCTTCCTTAGGTTCACTTTCTCCCTTCCAGTGATCTGTTTTATGTGTGTCGTAACACAGTGTTCAAACAAATTACATTTTTAAACTACTTTTGGACAATTCTATTAATCAAGGCACGATGTGGAAAACTAGAGGGTTGTGGTTTTTTTCATGGAGCAGTTGACTTCTACAGTCTGTTATAAACATTATAGAGGGTATGCATAATATTACATATCAATCCAAAAGGAATGTACTCTGTCATTACTGTGGGAAAGTTGGCAACAGAGTTCATTGTCTCTTATGTGATCATGCTTTTATCTTCATACCCAGCCTGTGATTACTTTTTATATTGTGTTTACATTGTAAGATTTTTGTTCCAAGGGTCATTTTTTCATTTTGTATGAAGATCGATGTCTACCAAACTCTGACTTTTATCAAACTTTTAGGATTAAAAAAATTTAAGAATCAATAACAACAGAAAACTTCAGAACCACTCATGTAATTTATTTTTACAGTCCTGCACCACTATTGTGAAAATTTTCCGATATTCTTTTCAGATATTGTAATCTCTCATAAATAAGAAAAATGAGCAGCAAAAGTAGCCATGTTTTCTGGAGCAAGCACACATCTCTCTCTTCTGTACTATGCAATTAGCAGTAACATCTAACAATTGGAATGCTACAGCATGCAAACAAACACAGCTTTCCTTCTAGTAAGTCTGTTAGTAGTTCACAAAAAGATGTTGAAAAGCACTATGCTGAATCATCAAGAACAGGAATCAGAATCCCAGACATATCTTCATATCTGAAGATGTCAAACAGTTCTCTGAATCAAAGTAGAACATGTCTGTTGCTGGAGGGCACAAAGAAGTTGGTGTGTGACCCACGGCAAAAACTTACACTCACTTA